AAGGGGCACAAGGCAGAAGGGGGCGATGGAGGACAGCACAAAGGGGGGCCCCCAAAAGGGCCCATGAAGACTCGGACCTGGGAGCAAAGGAAGGGGGTATAGGGGCCCAGGCCCGATTAGGGGCCGGGGAGCAGCTATGGGAGGCCCGGAATCTGCCAGCACCCTAAAGAAAAAAATGGAACACACCAGCAGTGTGAGGAGCCTGAAAGTGGGACAAAGGGAAAAGTGGGGGCGATGGAGACAGCACAATGGGGGGCCGAAAAGGGACCCAAGGAGACTCTGGGGCCTGGCAGCAAAACCCGAGGGGGCGGTTAAAAGGGGGGCCCCTGGCAGATTTGGGGGCCCCCCCAGCAGCTATGGGAGGCCGTAATCTGCCAGGCACCCTATGACAAAAAATGGAACACACCACATGTGAGGAGACCTGTAAAAGTGGCACCATGCAGAGTGTGACGATGGAGATCAGCAGCATTGGGAGGCGTACAGGGGTCCATGAGGAGACTCTGGGGACTTTGGCGAGCAGCATGAGGAGGCGCTATAGGGGACCATGGCAGATTTAGGGGCATGCGGCTGCAGCTAATGGTAGGCCCGTAATCTGCCAGCACCCTATGACAAAAATGGGAACACACACAGCAGTGTGTAGGAGACCTGAAAGCTTGCACATGTTTGGGGGCATGATTCATGGCGGATTTAGTCCAGTTGTGTCAGGAACTAGGTGTTTGAAATCCAGGGGCGGGAAACCTAATCCACGCCTTGATTCATTTTCACAAACGTGAGTTCTCTCCACACTTTGGGGGTGGACAGTACGTGTCCTTACGCGGGAGTTGCAATACCTCCTGCCGCCATCTAAACACGCGCTCCGATGCCACGGCGAACTGGTCCGATGCATGACTACGCCTTTCAAGGGCATAATACAAGTCTAGTTGGGGCCCAAATGTCTCAAGTTTCGTTTGCCCCCAAGTAGACAAGGGGTTTGTCTACCTCGGTTGGCAGGGTCTGTCCAAGTAGGCCTAAGCCTGTTGTTTGAGGTCCTGCTCCAGGTCCACCTGATGCTGCTGCTGCTGCTGCTGCGCTGGTTAGTAGTTCCTCACTGCGCTGGTGAAGAAAAGCTACTCATCATCGACTGCAGACTGAGGCAGCCGCTGCTGCGGTGGAGCTGCCACTTGCTCCTACCACCCCACCCCCTCCCCTGCTGCCATGGCAGCGGAACGCGAGCGCACAGGGCCCACAGTGTCGAGATAGGACTTGGCGCACAAAGGCAGAGACCAAACTGACACAATAGGTGGTTTTTTATTTAGTACGTTATTTTGGCCTCCCTCTCAGCAGGTGTGAAAAAGGCCACCATTTTTGAACGGTACGAGGGTCCCTACAACAAGTGTGGACAGGCCAAAAGTCATCCCTCTGTCTGATGGTTATTATTCCGGCTGTCGCTACGCAAGCAACCGAGCATGCTATGGGGCCCATTTGTGACCAAGGAATGCGAGGGACTCCCTGCACTCCATCTCCACAGCAGTACTGCCACGGTGCGTCTGGGTCCTCTGTCTCTCCTCCTCCTCCTTCTACTACCAGATGCTCCTGCTCCTCCACTCCTGTCCGCTGAGAGCGGAAAAACCACCCATTTCACTCAATAATTCCTGAGCACAAATGTCCTCCTCTACCTCCTCCTCTTCTTCCTGTCCTGCCACACTAGGGGTCATGTGGCGTTGAGATCTGTGCGCCACGTCTACCGCACCCTGACCAGCCCATTGTTAACAGCTCTTTTGTTCCAGAACGTGGCAACAGATGGAATGACGTCGTTCAATCCCATAGTCCTGCCGACTCACGTATAGCATGGCCGCCTCAAAGGGCCTGAGCAAGCGGCAGGTGTCACGCATGAGCTGCCAATGGCTGACATCAAAGTTACACAGGGGGGAGTACCTTTATCCGCTTGTAACATCAGGAAATCGGTGATTGGCCTTTGTTCGCTGTTCGTAAAAGGCGGTCTAACATGTGTAGGGTTGAATTCCACCTTGTTGCAATCATCGCAGATCAGGCGATGCTGTGGGCAATTCCGTTCTGGTGCCGCTGCAGCTCAAGGGAGGGTGTGCTTTGCGGTGTAGGAATGGCTGAAATGCATGCAAAGTTTGACGTGACATTTTACAGGATGTCTTGCAGTGGGATGGTGGATTTTTAGGAACCGCTTTGACAACCAGATTGAAACACGTGAAGCCATGCATGGCGCATGGCACAACCTTCCTTGACACAGAGCATGGACAACATGTCTTCTTCCGTTGTCGGTCAACATGGTTCCGATTTGAGTTTTGCGTGGAGACAGCCATCTGTCGATTTCTTCTGTTCATTACACTGAGAAGTTCCTCCCCCTGTGTGACTACGTTCGCCAAGGCATACCAGGTGCAGCACAGCGTGTGACCACCGTTGCGCCCTTGCACATGTGATATGCCGGTCGTGGTATTGGGACTTGGCACGGTGGGGGATGGGGGTGGCGGCTGAGGACACGAGCGGAAGAAGAGGTGGTAGAGGCGGACATCTTGCCGGACCAAGGACGTGCAAACGTGGAGGCAAAAGCGGCGTGACCTGTCCAAGTTGCTGGTGGCGTGCTGTGACGGCACCACGTTCACTCCAGTGGGCCGTAAATGACATGTACTGTCCCTGACCGTAGTTACAGCTACCACACGTCGGCGCTGCCGTGCACTTTGGCAGAGACCGACATGCTCAAAGACTGGCCCACCATCTCTTCTACATGTGAATGCAGGGCTGGCACTGCCTTTTAGGCGAAAGAAATGACGGCTTGGCACTCTCCACCGCGGCGCGGCACATGCCATCATTTCTCGGAAGGTGCTGAGTCCACCACTTGGAAAGGGAGGGACTGCAGCACCAGCAACTTGGACAGGAGGACGTTCAGCTTTTGCACCGTCGGGTGCGTGCTCGCAAACTGTTGTCTCTTGGAAACGGATTCCAAGAAAGACTGCTGACGGAATCCGTGAAGAGGAGTAGCAGGAGAAGGAGCATCTGAACGAGCGGAAGATGCCAACGAGCGACAACTCCCCTCAGCAGAGGTGTTGGAGCCTTGACTGGCTGATGGAGGGCAATTGACGTCAGGTGACGGAGCAAGTAACGGAGCGGGTGATGGGTAGCGGGGGCTGGGGGCGGGCAGAACCGCCGTATCTTTATCACGGTTTCCCAGGCCACCAAATGGCGACGCTGCATATGCTGACGCAACGCTGTAGTCCCAACATGGGCCCCCTGGCCACGCTTGACTTTCTGGCCACATAGTCGACATACGGCTACGTTTACTTCCTCGGGCGGCTTGACAAAAAATTGCCACACCCGCCGAGTAGGAAACTTTGCCCCCGATACTCCTCACTGGCTGACTGCTGCTTCCTCCGTGCACACCGGCACACTACTGGCCGTGGTGGTAGGCTGCAGTGGAGCTGGTGCTCTACTCCGTGGCCGTTTGGCTCCACTGACACTGCTGCGACCCTGCTGCTGTCTCCTGGGCAACCCACCGACTGTTTTGCTCGCTGCCAAGCTGCCACCCTCTTCTCCTGATGATGCGGAAGAAATTGCCTGATGACGACGAGGGCTGCCAAGTGCGATCAACCTCCTCATCATCAAGTAGGGTCTCCGCCTCACTACTAGCCCCCTCGGCTGCGTCTGGGTCAGGAGACAGACCTGTCTCTAGACCGGCTACCGAGCCACTCTCCTACCACTATACTTCTTCGCCTGGCTGCTGAAAAGGCGGATGTCTCCCCCCGTTCCTGACCGCCCTCTGTTAGCTCTTCCTCACTGTACAGTGGGGGCTGAGCCCACAGCATGCGATACTTTTCGCTTGGTGAGGGAACACCAAAGGACAGGGGCGGGTAGAGGACACGTGATTTCAGTGGGCTTGGTCCCGGGCCATGCCAACTAACGGTTGTGTCTGACGTACCCCACCGACCGTTGGCTGTAGGTGTCAGAGGTGACCTGGGAAGAGGAAGATCGACGACCGAGCGCCAACCAATCGACGACGGCACGGGTTGTCGGTGGAGACACGACCGCTGGATGACACCGGGAGCACTGGCCTCTGGCTGCGAATAGTGCTGCCCTCGACCCCTTCCTTGCTGCCACGTCTGCTCGCTCCTAAAACATTGCCTCCTCTGTCACACCTCTGCATGTTGTCTGACATACTCTTTAATTCAACGATTCTGTGTCCCTGAGTAACAATTCTGTGTCCCTGAGTAACAATTCTGTGTCTGTTCCCTGAGTAACAATTCTGTGGCCCTAAGTAACGGTTCTGTGGCCCTCAGTAACAATTCTGTGTTCCCTCAGTAACAATTCTGTGTCTGTCCCTGAGTAACAATTATGTGGCCCTAAGTAACGGTTCTGTGGCCCTCTGTAACAATTCTGTGTCCCTGAGTAACAATTCTGTGTCTGTCTGAGTAACAATTCTGTGGCCCTAAGTAACAGTTCTGTGGGCCCTCAGTAACAATTCTGTGTCCCCTGAGTAACCTTTCTGTGGCCCTAAAGTAACAGCTCTGTGGCCCTCAGTAACAATTCTGTGTCCCTGAGTAACAAATTCTGTGGCCCTAAGTAACAGTTTTCTGTGGCCCTCAGTAACAATTCTGTGTCCCTGAGTAACAATTCTGTGGCCCTAAGTAACGGTTTCTGTGGCCCCTCAGTAACAATTCTGTATCCCTGAGTAACAATTCTGTGTCTGTCCGAGTAACAATTCTGTGGCCCTAAGTAACAGTTCTGTGGCCCCTCAGTAACAATTCTGTGTCCCTAAGTAACAAATCTGTGGCCCTAAATTCTGTGGCCTAAGTAAACGGTTCTGTGGCCCTCAGTAACAATTCTGTGTCCCTAAGTAACAATTCTGTGGCCCTAAGTAACGGTTCTGTGGCCCTCAGTAACAATTCTGTGTCCCTAAGTAACAATTCTGTGGCCCTAAGTAACGGTTCTGTGGCCCTCAGTAACAATTCTGTGTCCCTCAGTAACAATTCTGTGTCCCTCAGTAACAATTCTGTGTCTGTCCCTGATTAACGTTTACGTGGCCCTATGTAACGGTTCTGTGGCCCTCAGTAAACAATTCTGTGGCCCTGATTAACGTTTATGTGGCCCTAAGTAACGGTTCTGTGGCCCTCAGTAACAATTCTGTGTCCCTGAGTAACAATTCTGTGTCTGTCCGAGTAACAATTCTGTGGCCCTAAGTAACAGTTCTGTGGCCCTCAGTAACAATTCTGTGTCCCTGAGTAACCTTTCTGTGGCCCTCAGTAACAGTTCTGTGGCCCTCAGTAAACAATTCTGTGTCCCTGAGTAACAATTCTGTGGCCCTAAGTAACAGTTCTGTGGCCCTGAGTAACAATTCTGTGTCCCTGAGTAACAATTCTGTGGCCCTAAGTAACGGTTCTGTGGCCCTCATGTAACAATTCTGTATCCCTGAGTAACAATTCTGTGTCTGTCCGAGTAACAATTCTGTGGCCCTAAGTAACAGTTCTGTGGCCCTCAGTAACAATTCTGTGTCCCTAAGTAACAAATCTGTGGCCCTAAGTAACGGTTCTGTGGCCCTCAGTAACAATTCTGTGGCCCCTAAGTAACGGTTCTGTGGCCCTAAGTAACGGTTCTGTGGCCCTCAGTAACAATTCTGTGTCCCTAAGTAACAATTCTGTGGCCCTAAGTAACGGTTCTCAAGAGGCCCTCAGTAACAATTCTGTGTCCCTCAGTAACAATTCTGTGTCCCTCAGTAACAATTCTGTGTCTGTCCCCTGATTAACGTTTACGTGGCCCTAAGTAACGGTTCTGTGGCCCTCAGTAACAATTCTGTGGGCCCTGATTTAACGTTTATGTGGCCCTAAGTAACGGTTCTGTGGCCCTCAGTAACAATTCTGTGTCCCTGAGTAACAATTCTGTGTCTGTCCGAGTAGTAACAATTCTGTGGCCCTAAGTAACAGTTCTGTGGCCCTCAGTGACAATTCTGTGTCCCTGAGTAACCTTTCTGTGGCCCTAAGTAACAGTTCTGTGGCCCTCAGTAACATTCTGTGTCCCTGAGTAACAATTCTGTGGCCCTAAGTAACAGTTCTGTGGCCCTCAGTAACAATTCTGTGTCCCTAAGTAACAATGTCTTCTGTGGCCCTAAGTAACGGTTCTGTGGCCCTCAGTAACAATTCTGTATCCCTGAGTAACAATTCTGTGTCTGTCCGAGTAACAAATTCTGTGGCCCTAAGTAACAGTTCTGTGGCCACTCAGTAAACAATTCTGTGTCCCTAAGTAACAAATCTGTGGCCCTAAGTAATGGTTCTGTGGCCCTCAGTAACAATTCTGTGGCCCTAAGTAACGGTTCTGTGGCCCTCAGTAACAATTCTGTGTCCCTAAGTAACAATTCTGTGGCCCTAAGTAACGGTTCTGTGCCCTCAGTAACAATTCTGTGTACTCCCTCAGTAACAATTCTGTGTCCCTCAGTAACAATTCTGTGTCTGTCCCTGATTAACGTTTACGTGGCCCTAAGTAACGGTTCTGTGGCCCTCAGTAACAATTCTGTGTCCCTGATTAACGTTTTCTGTGGCCCTAAGTAACGGTTCTGTGGCCCTCAGTAACAATTCTGTGTCCCTCAAGAAACAATTGTGTCTGTTCGTGAGTAACAATTCTGTGGCCCTAAGTAACGGTTCTGTGGCCCTCAGTAACAATTCTGTGATCCTGATTAACGTTTATGTGGCCTAAGTAACGGTTCTGTGGCCCTCAGTAACAATTCTGTGTCACTGATTAACGTTTCTGTGGCCCTAAGTAACAGTTCTGTGGCCCTCAGTAACAATTCTGTGTCCCTCAGTAACATTCTGTGTCCTGTTCGTGAGTAACAATTCTGTGGCCCTAAGTAACGGTTCTGTGGCCCTCAGTAACAATTCTGTGTCCCTGATTAACTTTTATGTGGCCCTAAGTAACGGTTCTGTGGCCCTCAGTAATAAACAAATTCTGTGTCCCTGATTAACGTTTCTGTGGCCCTCAGTAACAATTCTGTGTCCCTCAGTAACAATTCTGTGTCTGTCCCTGAGTAACAATTCTGTGGCCCTAAGTAAACGGTTCTGTGGCCCTCAGTACAATTCTGTGTCCCTGAGTAACAATTCTGTGGCCCTAAGTAACGGTTCTGTGGCCCTCAGTAACAATTCTGTGTCCCTGAGTAACAATTCTGTGGCCCTAAGTAACGGTTGTGGCCCTCAGTAACAATTCTGTGTCCTCAGTAACAATTCTGTGTCTGTCCCTGAGTAACAATTATGTGGCCCTAAGTAACGGTTATTGTGGCCCTCAGTAACAATTCTGTGTCCCTGAGTAAACGTTTCTGTGGCCTAGGTTTTTTGTAGTACGGTTTCTGTGGCCCTCAGTAACAATTCTGTGTCCCTGAGTAACAATTCTGTGTCTGTCCCTGAGTAACAATTCTGTGTACCCCTGAGTAACGTTTCTGTGGCCCTAAGTAACAATTCTGTGGCCCTCAGTAACAATTCTGTGTTCTGTCCCTGAGTAACAATTCTGTGGCCCTAACTAACGTTTCTGTGGCCCTAAGTAACAGTTCTGTGGCCCTCAGTAACAATTCTGTGTCCCTGAGTAACGTTTCTGTGGACCTAAGTAACAATTCTCTGGCACTCAGTAACAATTCTGTCTGTCCTGAGTAACAATTCTGTGGCCCTAAGTAACAATTCTGTGGCCCTCAGTAACAATTCTGTGTCTGTCCCTGAGTAACAATTCTGTGGCCCTAACTAACGTTTCTGTGGCCCTAAGTAACAGTTCTGTGGCCCTCAGTAACAATTCTGTGTCTGTCCCTGAGTAACAATTCTGTGGCCCCTAACTAACGTTTTCTGTGGCCCTAACTAACGTTTCTGTGGCCCTCAGTAACAGTTCTGTGGCCCTCAGTAACAATTCTGTGTCTGTCCCTGAGTACAATTCTGTGGCCCTAAAACTAACGTTTCTGTGGCCCTAAGTAACAATTCTCTGGCACTCAGTAACAAAATTCTGTCTGTCCCTGAGTAACAATTCTGTGGCCCTAATAACGTTTCTGTGGCCCTAAGTAACAGTTCTGTGGCCCTCAGTAACAATTCTGTGTCTGTCCCTGGAGTAACAATTCTGTGGCCCTAACTAACGTTTCTGTGGCCCTAAGTAACAATTTCTCTGGCACTCAGTAACAATTCTGTCTGTCCCTGGGAGTAACAATTCTGTGGCCCTAACTAGCGTTTCTTTGGCCCTAAGTAACGATTCTGTGGCCCTCATTAACAATTCTGTGTCCCTGAGTAATGCTTCTCTGTCCCTAAGTAACGTTTCTCTGTCCCCAAGTAACGTTTCGTTTCTGTGGCCCTAACTCTGTCCCTAATACAGAGCGGTCTGCCTCTCTTGAATGACTGGAGGCAAATGAAGAATTCTAAAATGGCCGCTATTTATAGCTCGACCATTACACAGTGCTGGCTGCCTGGCTGCTGATTGGCTAATGCGATCACATGTCATTAAGGAATGCATATGGGTCAGCGCGCCTTGTCTGCGCGCCTTCCCAGAACATCCCCGCTCCGTCGCCGCACATGTCCGCCGCCATTTTAGGAAAAATTTCGATTCGCGCGTCTGAAGTAGGCTATTTTTTCGGATTCAGCGCGAATTTTTTCCAATATTCGACTCGAATTCCACTTCGCCTACTTCGATTCGCTCATCTCTAGTTCTCATCTCTGGAGATTAATGCTTCCCATTAAGCTGAGTCATTTTGGAAACTTATGGAAGTTAGTTTCTGGAAGATATACTTTTGGAGAGTCCTTCTTTGATTTGGTTCCACACAGTGCTGCTTGATAGTTTCTTTTTAGAGGGGGTCAACATATCCTAGTAAGAGGCCGTGTGTTTGGGTTGTTGAAGGTTTTTCCTCCTATATTTATCATCCTTTGAGCACCAATATTTACAGAGTAGCCTATTTAGGATTTACAGGTGGACTCTATCACATTCATTTCAGCTGAACTACACTACTTACCTGCAGATCGGAATGTGTATTATATCTTTAATCATCTTACTCCAATAGAATTGAAATGTTATAGAAATACGGTATGTTTATTAGTAACTCTGCACCATTTTTTACATGTTTACTGTGCAGGGGCGGACTGACAACTACTCATGGGGCCCCCGGGCAATAGGGGACCATGGGGCCCCTGTGTCCTTGCCCACACTCAAATCACACCCAACAAAACCTATGAAAGGTGTCATGATTGCGGTGTGTCAGATCCCAGACCTTCTCACCAAACTCATGACTGAAGGACTAGCCAATCTAAAACCGCAATGTGACGTGCGTAACAATGCCACACACCAGCTGCACCCTGCACAACGATTTTCCAGCTAACGGACCACAATCGATGCACCGGCAGCCCTGAGCGATTGTTACTGGGTCAGGTTAATTACGCAATTAAACCCTTCACACTGCCACCACCTCCTTTTTGTACAGAGAAAGAGGAAACTCGGCGTTATCAGCTATAACACTATAATGATTGAGATAATCGTCTGTATAAAATGGTCATAACACAGGCCTGTTATACAGAGGGTTAAGCAAACAGTAGCTTTCTCTTTAGAGGAGGGATTTGTAAATTGCAATACAGAGCTATATAAACAGTTCAACACTTTCGGAAAGAAAGATTTTATGTACTAAAAGGTCAAACAGGTACAATAAAAATATTTACAGAAAAGGGATGTAACTAAGATATATATATACATATACAAAGAACCACAGCACAGCAAAGAGATATCAGAGAGAGGTGAAAGGGTTAAAGTACTTGCCAAAGTCCTGGGTTAGCAGATCCAAGTTTCAGAGCAGAAGAGTGCTTTGATCTCCCTATGTTACGATGATCAATGGGAGAAATTCTTCAACTACCTTAATCTTAGGCTGACAGCCTGGTTTGTAGTCCCCAGCAGGGGTGGCTCTGCAGTCAAGGACCAATCTCTGCTTAGGACGTGGAGAGATGGGTGGATGTCTAAACTAGAGCAAAAATCTCCCATAACTCATATTTGGCCCATAACTTTCATCTGCAAGTGACATTCGACCCGCGGGTAGATTATTATGCAGATAAGTCTGAGGATTGATTAGATATGAATTATGGAAGTGTACACTAAACGGTTCACGAGATCTATTTTTCTGCTTTCCTGTGTGTCCAAGACATGGAGAGTGACTGTTCGCCTGCTCATCGTTCATCTGATGATATGTTCGGTTTTTATGTAAGTCCCTCATATTCCAAGATATGAGACATGGGGGGAAAAATGGTTTTAACCGAGGTTATCTGATTCTGTCACCTACGCTGAGTTAGGTTTTATGAGGTTGGAATCTCTTTCAATTCCTGAGAAAGCTTGTCTTATCTCTTCCGAGGTGTGAAATGGTACAGCTTTCGAGATAGCTAGGCACCTATCTCAGAGATGCCTTGACCTGCCAGTGACCCACAACCAGCACACACACACACACACACACACACACGCTGGCCAAATGTCTTCTCTCAGAGAGGGAGGGGGAGGGAGTGAGGGAGTGAGGGGAGAAAATGGATACTCTTAACAAAATGGAGTCTGAGTCCTTCACTGTGTGCTGCGCATGTTTGCGACAAAAGGTACCAGGGACATCGCATGGGGCCCCTTACTGACCCCGGGCCCTCGAGCAGTGCCCGAGTTTCCCAATGGTCAGTCCGCCCCTGTTACTGTGATGTATCCTGTAATATTGTGCCAGCTGCTTGACTAGATTTCTTATGATGTTTTTATAAGATTTTTAGTACGTTTTTAGCCTGAACTAGATTATTTTTGTTGTTTAGTCTACTTTTCCTGAAATGGTTGTTTGAGGTGGAGAGTTGCACCACAAAGACTTTGTTTTCCCCACTATCCCACCCCACCTCAGTGATGACCTCACCACTTGATAAAAATAGAACTTGCTGAAGTAGAGTCCCGAATGGAATAAAGTCTTCATATCGGTTGTTAAAATGGATTAAATGTGATCAGATGCTCAACAGGCATGTGCCAGCTGGACAGGTGCGGTTTCATGGAGACAGGCAGAAAATGCACATCAGATATTGTTGGTCTAATCATGCATGAATCAACATGCTCAGCACTATTTACACGCGGCATTGAACTTGTATTCTGGGCTCCGGAGAGATACATTCCTCAGTAAGCCAGGGAGGGTAGTGCTATTTTGTTATCATGCTTGGAATTTACTGCATTTGTCTTATGCCTGAATAAGTGTAATTACAAGACTGACAGGCTTACGTCTTATTAGACCACAACTCTACTTGGGTAATGTATTAGGTACCTGGTATGTTTTAAGAATTGCTCCTCATTCTGTCATGCTTAGTGCCCCATTATTGAATTTAAAGCTATATACGCAGCTGCATTATATCAGCCAAAGAATGTGCACTTCTGTCATCCATTCCTGAGATTTATGCAGCTCTGCCAGAGACGTTGGTGACCCAAATAATCTCTGAAGCAGTAAGGGAACACAGCTGGGTCACCTCCCTGCCCCCACCTGTGATTGGACAATGAAGAAGTAGCAGTTTGATGGGATCAACCCTCTGCCTTCTCCTCTGATCAGCATAATCCTTGTCTTCAGAGATGATTGGATCCTTGTATTGCCGCCCCCCCCCTCCCTAAGCAAGAGGTTGATACAAAGTCAGGTTCCTGTGCTTAGACTAACTGCATTTAAAATTGTCTTTATTAATTTGGTAGAAATAAATTAAAGCATTAATGTGTTTTATATCTCCTTGGAAAATGGATCTCAAGATACTAGTTTGAGCTTACAAAGTTGCTCTCTTCAAAAGCCACAGTTAATAACAGGCATTTTTTAACACCCAAGTACACTCCAAACTTTTTATTTTGTTTTTGGCTAGATCTGGGAAGAGTTAAGAGCATCTGCCATGTTTCTATTACTATGTAGCCTGATGAAATGGGACTTTGGGCTCTGAAATACGTTGGATTTTTTTTCTGCTCTGTATTATTTTTATTATTAAAAGCTTTGGACCCTTGGATATTTGTTTTGTGTTCTCATTTGTTTGTATGTATGTGGAATCTCGGTTCTGGGCCCTTTCCCTATTCCTGAGGGGAGGCCCTGTTGGGCAATTTCCCATCACTTCTAGTTAGAATAGGAAGTGATAGGAAATCTCTCCAAAGGCAGAGATTCTGGAAGGACAACCTGTAGATCCATCTTTGTTCCACCTTTGTGTTTCTTCTAAGTGAGAGAAAGAGGTCTAAAGCTTCAAATATGAATTTATAATAGTTTATTGGGATTTGTAGTCAGCTGTCCACTATGATTAGGCAATATCTGTACAGTACACCAGATGTTTTCCAGGGGCAGAAAGGCTTCAGAATCCTTTTTCTAGTGGCTTTCACGTTTTCCTTGGAGTGAATCACAAACTGAGGACCTCAGCAAGCCATTTTGTCCTGAAGCCACAAGAAAAGGCGCACAGGCATGCACTTGCACAACCAGACATGCACAGACTGA